TTTTATCATGTAAAAACTAGTTTACAATTGTGAACGCAAAATGAAAAAAATAAAGTTTACTTTCTTCTCGGTTTCTCTGCTTGGAAAAACATATAACGAATGATCAGTTATTTTGTTAAATCTCCCTGAACAGAAGGATCTTGAAAAGTGTGTCGTCCAATATATGTTGACTGGTGTTAATGGTTTGTAGTAGATGTATAGGTTCTTGGGAAGGGTGGTAAAGTGGAATGAGAAGTTGAGAGCAATCTTGATGCACCAGCAATAGCAATGAATGAGGATCATACTATACTCCTTCCACCTTGAACATATCTTTTGCAGTCTGAATTCCATTTTGCCATACTACACAATGTTCTTCATTGTCTGAAATGGGATTGACCAGGGTACTTCTACATAAAATCTCCTTTATAAAGAGGTGCTTCTTGAACAGGGTTTTGTTCGGCTTTTCTTTCATAAGGCTGCAATTTCACATCTCCAGGTTTGATGAAGCAAGCTTACCTTTGATTCGAGGATTTGGACTAGCTTTTCAGTATCAATTTCCGGCTGTGCTGTTTGAGATTCTAATTTCAGGATCACCAAAGAATTCATGCACAAATTCACGCTCTTCTTCATTTAAACACGTAAAGAACGGGGTTTTCCCTTGATCCTTTTTCAAAATGCTTCCAACAATGCTGTAATTTTAGGTTCCATAGTTGATTTGATGTAAAAATAAAAATTCGATTCTATTTTAGAGATGAATCCAACCAATCAGAACACATTGAACATATCCGTGTAGATCAGATAAATAAAAGATGATCAATCACCCACTCGTTCATAAAATTTTTTTTTTAAAAAAATGACATCATCATCTTATAATTTCACAATTATTGATTCAAGCATAGCAGCAATGATTTCAAGAATCATCACACATCCACTTGACACTATTAGGGTGCGTCTTCAAACTTCTACAGCAGTGAATTCTAATATTAATAATTTTGTTGTTTCTGCTGCCAAAATTAATGTTAGAACGTCATATTTTCGTAATTTGTACAAATATTCTATTAGACGCTCGCCTCTAATTATGCTGATTCGTAACACATCATTAATGGATTATTATAATGGATTATTGGTAGCAACATTGCTAGGCGTGCCAGCTTCATCAACGTATTTATACATATATGACAAATCAAAATATTATATATCAGACAATTTTGGAATAAGAGATGACAAGATGATAAATCATATGATTAGTGGAACTATAGCAGAGATAGTTAGTGGGGCTTTTTGGACGCCAATGGAAGTTTTAAAAAGTAAACTGCAAATTCAAGATTCAACCAGTGGCAGCAATACATTATCAATGATAAAAAGAATAGTTAGAATAGATGGAGTTTTAGGATTTTTTCGTGGATATTGGATGTCATTATATGTTTATGTACCACATACGATTTTATATTTTACAACTTATGAGAAACTTAAACAAATTAATTTTCTAAACAAAAACAATACTAGCAGTAATAGTAATATTGACTATGCTATCTATTCAAGTATATCAATTACAATAGCAGGATCAATATCAAATATTCTAGATGTGGTCAAGACAAGATGGCAGACCATATTTTCTAATCAACAATCAATCAAATCACCCATTGATATTATTAAATCAATGTATATTAATGAGGGTGGATTGATTGCATTTACTAAAGGAATGAGTGCAAGGGTTCTATGGATGATACCAAGTAGTTCTATTAGTATGACAGTATATGAAATATTAAAAAATAACAGAAACAATTTACAAAACAACAAAGACAATTATAATAACAATGGGATTTAAAATGAATTGGTTTTTATAATTTTTTTTGGAAAGAAACAAGTTTATAATCTATTATTATGAAAGTAAGCATTACGCATTATATAAAAAAACGTATTACTATTAATCTCTTCGATTATATATAGAGAGCAACAGTGAAAGGTTTACTTTAGATGCCTAAAAGAATTTCATACATATTATTTATGTGAAACAGATGGAATGAAGACATGTTTATATATTGTGATTTTTGTTTTTTGTTTTATTAATTAATATTTAATACAAAGAAAATTTGAAAAACTAGGGAGCGAGAACGATTCTATTAAATATGTCATCTATCAAACTAAGTGTAAATGATTCTTCACTTTGTTTTTGTTGAGTATAAATAATTCATAAAATCTATTCATCACTCTCTTATTTCATTTTTTTATTGTTTTCAGGTAATTAATGTGTTTGAGCAGTATATGATAAAAAAATTGTTTATTTAATTTTTTTTTTTTTAGAATATTTGAAAACTAGATGTAATAAATATTTTCCAAAAAAAATATAACGGGCGTGGATTTTTTTTACGTCGATCATTTGTATGGAAATGTTAATCACATTAAAAAATGTTTATTTCTTTCTTCTTCCTCTTCTAGTTCAAATACTAAATTCCATAAATAATTGGAAACTTCATATTCATCCGATGCATTATCTATTATCGCGACATTGATATCATCATTTCCTTCTACAATAATAATAATTGTTATAATTGTAGGAAAAATAAAATAATGATGATACAAATAAATTATATTTACCAATTATTACTTTTAATTTTTGAGTATCTGGATTTTCAAAAAAACGAATTCCCAATTTACGAAGCAATGCCAATATAAGTCTTTATAAATAAACAAATATAAGTCTTCAGTATTTACTCTCTCGTTAAACCAATCAACAACAATATTATCAATTACTAACAAAGAGTAATCTTCTTTTTTCAACCCTTTAGCATCAAAATCTTCTTGTAACATTTTCGATTCTTTTTTTAAATTTTCATAATCTAAATTTAAAGTTGTATATTCATTAAAAGAGTCAAGAAATAAATAAATATTTATTTATTATAATAACACACGATTAACTATTGATGTAAAAGGATATTGGATTTCTTTGTCTAAATTTAATATTGATGACGACAAATTAGATTTGATTGATTCATAATTATGTTTACCAACATTATTATTGTTATTATTATTGGCATCAAAATCATCTATATATTACAAACTTAAACAAAAGAAAAAGTTTGTGATATGATTATATTAAATTAAAATAAATAAATAATAATTTTAGTTGCCAGCAGGCTTATTTAAATGAAGAACAAATAAATAACGTCGTAAAAAGATATTGTTCTCCATTCATATCCTGAAGTGGAATATGACGGTACCCTGTAATTAATATATTTGGTATAATCAGTATAATTATTAATTAGCAATTCAATAACATTTCACATCCTACCCATTTGTAAACTAGTTAAAGGTGTACAATAATATGCTATGAAATCGTTCGTTCTAACATCCTCATCCAAAACACAAAATCTTTGATACGAATAAAAAATTATATTGAAAAAATTAATTAATTAGTAAATTGAAATAAATAAAATATGCATGTTTAATAAACAATTAATAGAATGTAAGCTTGTTTTAATATTTATTTTAAAAAAATCTTACCGTAAAAAAACCAGGCCAATTTCTTCACATTCAATTGTAAATGATAACTTCTCCTTCCATATTGGATTAAATCCATTGTCTGATATTGTTTTAGTTTTTTTTATTACGGCCTCAGAATTTGGAACTAACAGCGTAACCTCAACGAACGGATCAATTATTTCTCCTTTAGTTGCTTCTTTTGGTTTGGGAAGCTGTTGAGCTGAAATTATCTATTTATTAAATTTTTTGTATGTTGAAGGAAATTATATATAGTTTAATTTTCGTTCGAGTTACACGTTTATATTAATATTAAAATTTTTTTTTAATACCTCTATTGATAAGGTTCTTGGTTTTGGTTGATCCGATGATGAACATAAATCTGGATTACGTAATCTATCTGATTTGAGAACATATCCGCACCTACCGTTCACAGCGAACATAGCTTGATTAATCTGCATTCCAAGGTCTAATAGAAATGATTAATAATATCTTTTTTAGACATTAAGCTTTAAATTAATTTTGTTTTCTTTTTGTTTTTTAAATAACCAACCAAATGTTTGCCAATTCAATGCAACCAATTGACTACCAACTATCCATTGATGATGTGGTTCGTAATTTGATGAATTTATTCGAAAACCTGCAGGATAAATCCGTGATAGATGTTTTGTGTTGTGTCGAATGAATGCCAATTTTTCTGATTTTAAAAGACGCGTGGAAACTTTCTCAGAAAAAGATGACATATGATAGTATGATGAATTTTCTATTAACAAAAAAAAAAAAGATGCAGGGAAGAAACAGAAGCGTGAATTTTTTAATTGACAATGTTTTCAAAAAAAAAAAGAAAGACACTAACCACGATGATACTCAAATCCTCTAAATTTGGTAGCTGAACAATAAATTATTAAATCAGAAAGCGCTTTGGAAACACGAGTTTTTTCCTTTTTTGGTTTGTCCTTTGGTTTTTTATCATTTTTTGATGGTTCAACATCTGATTCGTTATCGGTAGCTGATTCAGTATCAGTAGTAGAATCACCAAAAAAATCATCGGGAGCATCTGATGGAAGATTTTTTCCCTAATGAATGAATAATTTTATTGTTGTAATTGTTATTATTATTGCTGTATTTCTAGAATATTTTCTCCCTGTCATAATTAATTGACCGTTTTTACCTTTAATAGAATTTTATGCATCAAGCTTTTAGGACTTGGTAACGTTGTTTCATCATCGTATAGAAATTTAGTGACCAAACTTTCTCCTAAAAGATTATTTAGTATAAAGGCCATTTGGCCTTGTTGTTCAATACAACAATGAACTTCAAGTGATAAAATGAGTGGATAAGGACTAGCTTTAAATGCATAAGTGCGAATAACTGATATGACATCTTGAAATAAAATTTTAGATGTCCTAAAACGAAAGATATAAATTTTTTTTCAATAAAACCAGCAAAGAATCACCAATGATAAATTTTAAATTGAGATATGAATACTATAAATATTATACCAAGTACGACCATGTGTGACTACAGGTCCGTCAGGCCCATCCCAACAATCAACTATAAAAAATATATTATTATTGTTGTCGATTGTAGCATTATGATATTATTATTATTATTATTATTATTATAAAACATACTTTCAACACATCTGCATCCTCTTTGTAATACGCGTATGTAACCTTCTACGGATGATTCACCTGTTAATTGATGGCCAAGAAGATATCTATAATAATTGAAGAAAAAGAAATTAATGGGTGGTATATAAATTTAATAAATATAATAATGATGAACTAATATAATTTATAGATTTTATAATTAATTTACGTATTATGAGAGGAATCTACAAAATAATGTGATAAAGGTTGATCCATATCTTGATAAATTTTTGCATGTTCTGATGAAAATGTAGGATTATCACTTGACATCATAAAACTACTAAAACCCTCTAATGTCATTTCTTTTGTGTTTTTATTACAAAATTTTAAGTATAAATTTTCATATTCTAACTCCTTTAAATTACACTACGCAACAATGGTTATTATGCATGTAATGAGTGTTTTTGTTGTTGTTATTATTATTATTATTATTATTATTATTAATATAATTAAATAATTAGTACCTTTTGATAATCTATTAGGAAATTCTTGAATTCTATTAAAGTTAAAACCGATTCACGTGCTGTTGCTAATCTAGTAAATAATTCTTCTAATTCGGTCCTTCTCTTGATTATTTTTACAAACCTTTTAAAATCACTAAAATCCAGCCAATCGTTCCTATTATCATTAGCTTCCTTTATAAATAATTATTATTATCAATGAAATATTTATTATAATAAATAAATAAATAAATAAATAAACACACATATATATATATACGTATTCATTCTACTCACATCAAATTGTTTTCTTAAAGATGCTTTTGACATGTTAATATTTAATTGACGACACAATCTAACCACCTCATCAAACCCTAATTTTGAATCGCCATCTTTATTCGCTTGTTTCCAATGTTGTTTTAACCAAACAGACTGACGTTTTCTCAAATGGCCCAAACCACCCATTAAATCTTTTCTGTGCAAATAAAGTTTCTCCAAGTTGTCCACCCAAGTATTAAACAATTTAGGTGTTGGAGCAACAAGATGAAGTGTTTTATATTTTCCTGAATCAATATAAACAATAGTGAACCATCGTGATTCATAGTCCACACTGAGCTTAAATTGTTCTCTATAACTTCTTATTGCTTCACCAACCCGAAGCTCTTTGATATTTTCGATGTTGACTAATGTATTTATTTTTATTTTTATTTTTATTTTTATTTTATTTTTTTTGTAAAAGTATTAATAATCAAAATTTCAATTTCAATTGATTAAATGTATGAATGTATAGAACGACATGCCTTTTCCTGATTTTTTGGAATCCCATAATATACGACCTTGACCTACATCGATTCTAAAAATCTTTTGTTTTTTCTTCTTTGCGGAAACTTTTAATAGAGGAGTACCTTCAGCAAGAGAAGGTTCAACAAAAATTTCTTTAGTATGAGGATTTATTTTTATTGAAGAATACGATGGACGATTTCCATTGATTTGATCAGATGATGATTGTTTGTATGAGGCTTGAATTGAATGATTATTGTTATTGTTATTGTAATGATTATTATTATCATGACTCGGATATGAGCCAGATGATACAATACTACCGGTAACAATACTATTGATTATTACTTCATCGGATACTACTATGGACTTCCTTCTTGGTGTGGTAGGAGGCAGGGAAGGTTTATCAATTTTTGTGGTTGTAAAAGCAGAGGATGAGGCTGATGGTGGAGAGGATGGTGGAGAGGGTGTGGTTTTTAAAGAATACATTTTTGAAAAAATTTAATTAGATTAAAATTTTTTTTTAAACAGTACAAAAAAGTAAAATTTATATTATTTTTGATGTTGGTTGAGAGAGGGAGGATACAGTAATGCAAAATCAAATCTTGTTGTGTCAATTCGAAATAGTCACAAAATATGGTTTGTCACTTACACAATCTCACTTAATCTGACATATCATTACAAAATTCCTGCTTTTTTTGATAAATCCAGTTAAACACTGGGGCTGAACGGACACAAGTTTTAATAATAATGTATTATTAAATATCAATATTATTAATGATTGTGAGATTTATTTTGATAAACTCCAATTTTGGGATAGGAACTATTATTTGACGCTGCTAATTTTCTTAAAAGGAAATTTCAAGGTGGTAAATAGCAAAATGGCATTACATAATATCAAATTTTTTATTAATTCATCAAAATTTTAATTATGCGAGTCTCTAATGACCCATTTATTTATCTTCAAATGGAAAAAATGGTAGGGCAAAGCAAATCTAGTGTTAGTATTAGTATTAATAATGACATGTTAGTTTTGCCATTTTAGAATTGTTGTGTTCCACAATTAATACTAAAGAAAAAACGGGAAAGTAAATATTATATAAACAAATTATTAATTTTAATCTCACCATCACCACAATATTTCTTCTACTGGCACAAAAATAAAATAATTGAAAGGTATAATAAACAAAGAAATCCTTAAGTAGCAATTAAATGTTGAATACAAAAATTTTAAATAAAAACTATAATTAAAGCAAAAATATAAAGATATATTAAATATTAATTTATAAATATAGTTTAATGACACACACATATATATATAATTGTAATTAACTAAAGATTTAAAAGAAGGAAAAAATCTATCAATTTTTCTTTTTCGAAATAATAATTATTAATAACAATATAAAAAAAAATCAAGATCTTAAAACCAGACAAAAGTCCTTGAAGAATTTCTCGTTTTCACTTAACTTTTATTTCAAAATTTAATTTTTTGCGGAGGAAAAATATAATTAATTAACATCCACACCCATCATTGAGAGCTTCGCTATCAATTTTGATCGCATCCGTGTAATCATTGTATCTATTTACACACACAGTTATAAAATAGATTATTAGTGAATTGTTAAATAGAAACATATATATCCATTATAAAATATAAACTGAATCAACATACATTTCTGCATCATTTTCTTGTTGCAAAGCATTTTTAGCAATTGTCATGAATGCATTCTCTACATTGATTGATTCTTTGGCACTTGTTTCAAAATAAGGAATGTTTCCTTTTGACTGGCACCAAGTCATGGCGCGTTTTGGAGATACCTAAGATGTGTATATAAATAGATGGATAGATATTAATTATGGTATAAATTGAATCATTGAAATAATACTATTGATAACAACGGTAATAATAATAGGTAATAATAATAATAATCGTTACCATTCTTCTTGATTCTTCGACGTCAATCTTATTGCCCAAAACAACAAAAGGAAAATTCTCAGGATCACGAGGAGAAGCCTGGATTAAAAATTCATCTCTCCAACTATCTAAAGTTTCAAAACTCTTGCCATTATTGACATCGTAAACAAGAACACAACAATCAGCTCCCCTATAAAATGCAACACCTAATGATTGAAATCGTTCTTGTCCTGCAGTGTCCCATATCTTTTATTTAAATAGTTATATATAATGAATTAAACGTTTGAACTGAATGAATGAGTAAATGAATGCATGAACTACTCTAGTGAATTTATTATATATACCTGCATTGTTACGAGACAATCATCAACCAAAACTTCTTTAGTTAAAAAATCAGCCCCAATAGTGGCTTTATATTGGTTTGTAAATTTTTTGTTCACATATTGGTTCATTAAAGACGTTTTTCCAACACTAATAATATTAATAAATATATTAACGTTACTAAATATAGCTTTGTTATATACATATATGTATGTATATATTCGACAGATCTTTATAATCTCGCGAAACGGTTTTAATATATGTAACTTACCCACTATCACCCAAAATTATTACCTTTTAAGAATTTAAGGAGGAAAGGATTGAAGGAAAGAAAGAAGTAAATTTTAGAAGTCCCATAAGAAAATTTTAATAATATATATATATATACAATGTTTGATTTTCATTATTTATTTACCTTTAAAAGCACTTTCTTACGATTAGACATTTTATAATAATTTATTGATTTATTTTTTTTGGAGAAAGAAATTATTATATTGTTAATAAAAAAATCAAATCTTTCGTATGATATTAATATATTTATTTGTCGGGCAAATTGGCTGAATTAATTGTGCAACCAATAAAATTCAATCTTGGGGAGTGCCCATATGAGGTCATTTGCACATTCCCCTTAGACATATTCTGCGCCACAAAGGCTATTTTTGATAATCAATGCCCAAAATTATTTTAATTTAATAGATAAAAGTTACTGTTCTTTTCATACTTGTATATTGACTTTACCTAATTACGGTATTAAAAGTGGTGATGCCGCTATTTAAACTTTCAGTAGTTTCAATTGGTAGTTATTATTAATATATATATATATATGTATATAACGTAAAAAACCTGTTTTACTATTCTGTTAACGTGTAACATCACCTTGATATATAGAACCTATATTCCCCCTTGCAATTTTGCGTTGGCGTAAAAATAACAATTTACAATTTTTTAATGACTTTTTTTTCTAAAAGAATCTCATTACAAAAGTACAAGTTGATAATAAAATAAATAATTACAATAATTATAATCAATCTAATCAAATCTAATAAGAACAATAAGAATATATAATCATCATGATCTACTACTAACTGCCAAATCATGATAGACGGTATAAATGGCAACCAATATGTTTGGAAATGGTGTATTCTCATTAATGGTAACATTTCTAATAGGGAAAAATATCAAGGAAAATATTAGAGATCAAGTAAATAAAACAATTTCAGTTGTCATTTATTTAGTTACCTTTCAGGAGTTGAAGAGAATTTTGAGTTTGTTCTCATTGTTTTCGCAAATGCAATTGATTTATCAGGAGAAAAGAATTCCAACCCTCTTTTCATATTTCCGGTCACCAAAGAAATCTTATAAAATTCCAAATCTCCATTATTTTCACATTTCTTAAATATGCTACCTTGATGTAAAAATGTGGTGATGCTGATCTTGTACACACAAGATTGTTTCAATATATCATCGTCACCATCACCATCATCATCTTCTTCTTTTGAAATGATCGCAGTATCAATTGCAGCAGGAAATCTGATTTCGATATTACCATACCACCAACCATATGTTGTAATGGCGGTTGAAACTTCATTCGTTGTATTTAAGGTGTGATTAAAATGAAATTCACTAATTGAATATTTGCGCGAAAAAATATTATACCATTTAGATGTGGATGTTAATTTGGCCAATGTAATTGATGATGATGATGATGATGATGATGATGATGATGATGATGATGATGCAACAATCGAAGATGACTCATTGTTGTTCTTTTTTTCGTGTAAAGTTTTATTTTCATCAATGGAAAGTGAATCAATAACATAATCGCATCTAGAACAAAGCTCACCTAAAAAAAATAATAATAATAACAATATTAATTCACATTTTATAAAAATAAAAATCTATAGTATACATGCATCAGTTAAAAGCTTTCCTATTTGTTTTAAATGATATTGATTGGGAATGATTGAAATATCATTGATTAAAATTGGTTCAGATGGTTGAAACAAATCTATTATTGAGATGATTGCTATCAACAAAAAGATCGTCACACCAAGGCAATATAAAAATCCTAAACATTTTACGCAGAATTTGCGTTTATTATTATGAGTTCTGGGTAAAAGTGGCTCGTATATTGCTTCTTCGTCGTCGCTTTCGTCTAATGATAATGACGATGATGAAAATGGTGGCATATTTTTTTCGTAATTGAAAAAAAATTTTTGGAAAAAAAAAGATGTAAAATTTAAATTTAAATGAAACCCGTGGGAATAATATTTATAGTTAGTATATATATGGTAAATAATAACATAATGAGTGATTCATTCGAAGACAAATTTACAGTGAACATAACGCACCAAATAAAATTTCAGGTTGTTCCGTTGATAAATGGCTCATATTTCGGTTCTTATTATATACATCAAACCGTTCATAGAGAAAATGTTGTTGTTTGAATAATTATTCAAAGAAAATTTCACAAAGTAATACACACATTTGAGACTACTAAATATTTAATAAATCTTTATTGTTGTTGTTATTAAATATGCGCCAATTTTGTACAAATTATTCAGAATGAACGTTACACGTAATGTATTTTTCAAATAAGGATTTGGGGATTGGAGTTCCATCGGAATTTTCAAGCTATATATTATAATGAATATCCTGTTTAGACAATAACCATTTGGTCACAATAAATCCCTGAGTTTGATATCCATAGAAAGAAACCATAGTAATAGATTTTTGAAAATAAGATCTGCAAACGTATATAGTGCGGGTCACAAATAAAAATTCAATGCGGGCGGGAATGTGGGAGTGTGACGTCGTACATTAGTAAATTTTCCGCAGAAGGTTTCTAAATTTATAGAAATCTGCATTGGTTACACTGGACTGCTTACCGTAAAGTCTTGAAAGATAGCACCCCTTTTTACAAATGACTTTTCAATTGTTTTAAAGTAGTGTGGGTACTATCTTTCGGGGGTGTTATCTTACGGTATCTATGGTGCAAGTCACCTAGTCCAATCAAAAATGCAATAAAAATTGTTTGGTCATGTGATATTTCCTGGTCATTTCATAAATAGTAAGTAAATCGGAAATAATAATATAATACCATTCATTACTAGTTAAAATAATGACATTAATAATAGAAATGAAATATATTTCCATGAAATATATTTTTGGTGCTAGGTGGGAGATAGCAAGTATATGTTTTGCACATTTCTTTGATCAACGGAATAGCCTATTTATTAAATTTGAAATAAAT